GAGTAAGGTATTTACATGCCACGGTAATGGAAGAAAGCCAGACAGCCCAATTCAGGTTTTCCATATTTCAGAGAATGAGCAATTCAAAGTAAGATAGGAGATTTGAATGAGTCCACCCACAACTGGGTTAACTGGGTTACAAAAACAAAATTCTTCTGCATGTAAACGCAGTCTCTGATGCTAAAACTGAAAGCAGTCAAGGCACTGTGGGAGGTTTTGGGATGAAAAATATCTATTAAAATGCCAAACAAACCACCTTTAAATGAAATATGGCATTGTATGTGTAGGACAGGGACTCTGTAGCTCTTTTGATTATAAATGGGACACAAGAATGGTGCATCTGTAAAAAAACAAATCTTCATCTGATACTGAAAGAATAAGCTATGTTTGACAGTATACAGCACAGTAGGTTTTTGGAAGTCATGGAGGGCTTTCTTGTCCCATCCCTTCTCTCCGAATAAGAGATTAGTAGAAGCCTGAGGATGGCTCTCACCAAAACATCTGGACAACACCTGATCTGAGGGACGCTGCCTACTGGACCTCCCCTGAACTGGTTCTATCAAATTAGGAGATATTTCCAAAAGAGTGGATGTGGTTGGAGGTCAACCATCCACACCAAGTCACATCTTCTCGATCCAATACACTGTGAATGTAAAAACTAAAGTCACAGTATTCATTGGATGTACAAAATATGAAATTTTATTTTGCAGCTGCTATTTTGCCCCCCCCCGCAAAATATCTCAACTGCTTCAGGTTTTGTAAATATTTCTATTACTCATTTGACTCAATTTTTTTCCTGTGTAACTGGTTTAATTGAATTTTGGTAATAATGTTTGACAATAAACATTTGGCTGGATTCACATTGTTGGACATGCTGTATGAAACTGCTATAAGTTAAATGAGTTCCTACTTGACACTTAAGCATTTAAGTCCATATTGGCCAATGTTATATGGCTTTAACTATTTATATAAAACAGATGTTAAATCCACCTAAATATTGCTGTTTTTTAAATAAATGTATTATGTTGCAGAACTTCAATAAAACTACATAAAGAGCTGCTTTCATACTGACTCAAAACTGAGTAATAACTTTAAATTCTAAATTCCTCCAACTTACAGTCAGAAGAAAGAAAGGAGAAAGAAAAGGAAGTGAACCCACTGGAATTACCTGTATTTATGTATAAATGCTGAAATATATAGTCTGATCTTCATCAAAGTTATAATAATGAGCAAACACAATCTGTTCACACAAACTAATGATACACAAATTGTTGCATTGTTGTTGTTCATATTGAATACATCATTCAAACATTCACAGAGGACGTTGCAAGAAGTGTGTGAACCCCACAGCTAATAACATCAACAATGGCTAACTGGAGTCAAGAGTTAGTAAACCCGGAGTCCAGTCCATGAAACCAGATTGGAGATGTGGGTTACAGACACTTTTCTTATAAAAAAAAAAAAAAAAAAAACTTTTTGAGTTTTGGTAAGAATTGGTTACAAAGTCATCTCAAAAGAGTTCAGATATTCATCAGTCCATAGTCTGCTAACTGTCTATATATGGAGACAAGCTTGTTCTGTGGACACTCTCCCTCAAAGTGGGTGTCCAGCTAAGATGACTCAAAAGGCACAACACAGAAAGTTCAGTAATGTAAGAAAGAAGCTCAGAGTAACAGCTAAAGGAATCGCTGCAGCTGGTGTTAACATCTCTGTTCATGAGCCGACCATATGCAAATCATGGTGAATGGTTGCATGGAGCATGTTGGTCTGTCATGGACATCGTGGGGGAAGCTGCTGCTCTCCTAAAAACATTGCTGCACACCTGCAGTTTGCCAAAGAGCAGCTTGATACTCCACAACACTACAGGGAAAATGTTTTGTGGACTGATGAAACTATGGGTGAATTGTTTTGGAAGAACATGCAGCACCACGTATGGTGTAAAAACCTTTTCTTGTCGGCACAAGAAAAGATCATCCCAAAGATGAGGAACAGTGGAGGGACCATCATGACCATCATCTGGGCCTGGACAGCTCACATCATCAAGGGGAAAATGAATTCCCAAGTTTATCAAGGTCTCTTACAGGATAATGTCAGGGTGGTTGTCCACCTGATGAAGGTCAGTAGAAGCTGCGTGATGCAGCAGGACGTGTCTAAACATCAAAGTAAATCTACTACAGAATGAATTTAAACAAAGAGAATCCACCTGTTGGAGGTCAAACCTTAACCCCGTAGAGATGCGGTGGAATGACTTGAAGAGAGCCGCTCACAGCAGACATCCTAAGAATATGGCTGAGCTGAGGCAGCTCTGTAAGGACGAACGGTCCAAAATTCCTCCTCAACATTGTGCAGGTCTGAGCAGCTACAGAAAACACTTGTTTCAGATTATTGTTGCCAAAGGAGGTTTGACCAGTTGTTAAATCCAAGGCTTCACCTACTTTTTTTTCACCAGCACTGAATAAAAGTTTAATATGTGTGTTCAATAAAGTGTTATTAATTTAAGCACATTGCGTTTGTCTAAACTTACAACTTAGATGAAGATCAGATCACATTTTATGAACAATTAACAAAAAAAAAAAAAGCTTATGCCAAAGGGTTTATTTACTTTTTATTGCCACTGTATTTGGATCTGTAAATATTATACTGAGAAAATTGCTGCATTTTTATATTTCTTCATTTTTACTAGTAGGCTTTGCAAGAAAAGTAATCTGAGCCCACATCCTACAGTGTTTCTGTCAGCCATGCTGTATGTGGAGTGACACCTGCAGAGGTCACACATGAGCTATGACTCTGCAGGGAGAAGGGCAAGAGGAAGTGGAAAGGGAAGAGAAACACCACAGACAGAGACTGAGGTGACAATCAGACTTCAGTCTAAGAGTTTTTTATGGACTGTTAAGCTTTTGTATTTTCTGCTTTATTTGATAGTAAAATTGCAAGTACTTTTAGTTCTTCTGTATTACCACTGAAGCTATTTCTGTTTTGCAAGACTTCATTTATTTACTCAACCACATTACATTTATTGTCCTTTTTTTGCTCCTTTTATTCATCTGCTGAAGTTACTAGTTACTTTGACAACTGAATTGAGGGTTCACATGCATATTGCATATGTTATGCAAAAGAATATAAAGCTAGATTTTCAACTACCCAACACTACAAATCATCAGCTCTAGTGCTGGATCAGCTAAAATATAATAACATTGCTTTAATCAATAATTTCACTGGAGAGAGGCATTTTTCAGAATAAGTGCTTAAAATTTTTAGCTTTATCATAATTTGATGCTTTTTCATCGATCCCACTGGACAGAACTGGATGGCTAAAGTGCACTGAAGGTCCCAAGTCAAATCTCAATCCTGAACAACACAGGAAAACGTCTGAGCTACCACAACAAAATAAAAATTTAAACAATCTACTCTGTCCCACTCCATCAGTCAAAAGCATATGCTACAGCCAATCATTCAAAGCCACAGAACTTTATTTCAGAGTAAAGCTCCTAATGGTTCCAAACATACTAAATATGTCATGCTGAATTATGGGGGAATGGTATAAATTGATGCAAGAGACATGCAGAATTTTTCCATTTGATGTAATGGCGGGGCCATAAAAAGACAGCTTCTTGAGGTGGAATATTTCATTCAATACAAGAATTAAATTCTGTGGCTTCAGTAAAGTCTTATGTACAAAATACTGTTTCGTACGTGACTGTGTCATGTGTGTGGAGAAGGGTTTTTCTCACTTAGGAAACACTTATGATTAAGAGGAACATCAGGTTTCGAGCTGCCTCAGTGAACTCAGTGAACTTTTCTGAGCCTGACATTGATCTTGTACTACTGGAATTATACTGCACCAGTAAACTCCACCCATCTGGTAGCTCGTGTAAGTAAAAACAAACATGATAAAATACTTGCAACCAGGATTTCACCCAGACCAGTGACAGGTACCGTACCGCAGTAACAAGTGTTTTTGTCAAGAATGCTATTCATTCAGTCCTCCAGAGAGCCCATGCACATTAATCTGACATTGGTGTCACAAACTTCCCTCTGAACTTAAGTCAGGAATCTTTCCTATAACTTTTATTCAGCTATTTTCAAGCCAAAGCTGTCCTTATTGAGTAAAAAGTTACTCATTCACTGTACAATTCACTAAAAACCACATTTTCAAATATCATCAATTCCATGACTACAACATAATGTTCTGATTTACGAGGAGTCAAAGACGTCATGTTGTTGGGATCAACTTCATGGAAGAAAATAAAAATCATAAATTATCACGCAACACGTTCATTTATTCCCAGAGAGTCTTCTCACATAAAATCCACTATGCTTAAATCCCCCTAACTCTTCAACATAGTTACGGATAGTTACTCCAAAGCTAAAGCCAGGCATCTTTCTCCTTCAACAGGAAAGTCAAAGTGCTGACAGTGTTGCTGCAGCAGCTGAGACTCCTCATTATGGTCTATTAAAAATATACCCATATTGTGTATTGAGATATTAGACAGAGACTGTCAGTTTGAGCATTAATTCTCTTATTTTCTGTCTTGCTACTTACAGTTTAACAAGAGATTAGGAATAAAGCCCAGATTGTGCATTCTTCTTGAACTCTAGACATAAAAAAGAAATGATTAATTTTCTTGATTTTCTAGAGATCACAATTTTAATTTCCATTTTATTCTTTATACTTTAAACCAAGATTAAAAATACATTTTTCAAGAGATGCCCGGCTGAGAGATAAGTATAAAGCCAAATGGGTTTAAATGAATACATTATATATATACATATAATGTATATGTATTACAAAAAACAATCATAACAACATTGCAACATTTTGGAGGGCATAAAGGAGCATAATACAGTAGCTCTGACCCATATGTCCTCTAAGCAAGTAAGACCAAAATGACTTAAACTGAAATTGTAAGCAACATAATATTGTTGTTTTTTTGCCCATATGTTTTTGCGCACAGCCTCAGTAGACATTTGTGTGTGTTTGTGAGTGCCCATGTACTCACCTGCCTCGCAGCATCTGAGGCCTGGTGGTTCCACATCCTCTGTGTCTTCTGTTGCCCTGCACCGAAAATACAAGACACAGAAAAAAAAACTCAAATCACAAATCAAAAGTGTGGAAAGTCACAGCTCTGCTGTTTCGACCTGCACTGTGAAAAATGATCGAGAGCTGTGATTGATTAGGACGTGTGCTGTGCGGTGTGGTTGCGTGTTGTTCTCCCACAGTGTGCCAGTACAAGCTGAGAACAGGACATTCTTAGTGGAACATTTCTGCTGTTACATGTCAGTGCTGTTGGGCATAGGACCAGCTGGAATTTATTCAAATTATCAGGGACACTTATTCTTTTCATGAAGTAAAGTGACGAGCTTTGCTTTTCTTAATTTAATCTATAATATCACAATAGAGGATATGTAAATAAAAGTAACATTAGAGAACTATTTTTCTTTGCTTTGAGGCAACTGAAATGTAGATTAATCCAAAAAGGAGCAGCCATTTACCATCGACAAATTGTGTCAGTTCAGATTATAATAATAACACTAGACTGATTCACTTTCTGCCCTTTAGGAAGGTCAAAACACAAAGTCAGCCACAGCTCTGACTCTGCTGGACGTCTGTGTCAGGCTCAAGAGAACGTGGGTAAGCGAAGGCTTAAATGGAAATGTTCTCCGAGAAAATCGGCCCTTCTTCTGCTGCTGCATTGACGCAAACTTCTATATACACACAACAAATAAAGGCAAAGAAAAGGCCACTGCATTATTCCATGGACATTGCAGTTGTGTATCTCCACTGCTCATTGCCAAATGTGTTCATGAATATTTCTGTCATACTGCTGCAGCAGCAGTGGTGTGTCGTACTGTGTTCTAGTTCAATCTTGTAGACATACAACTCAAACAGTTAAAGATTTTGCAAGCACATGAAACAGGCTGAGTAGGTGGTTTCAGAATATCTGGTCTTATTTAATTCCTAAAAATCCCCTTTTACTGCAATATGTACACGGAACCTTGAAGATGAGATTATCTACAATTAGGGTTTAGGTCATGCTGTTTCAACATTTCTAACATTTGCCTTGGCCTGTATTTGATTCTTGGAACAAGTGTCATCCAACATGAAATGTGACCGAGAACAACTTTAAACTCAGTGACCTTCGAACTGAATAAATCCACGTCAAGTTTACAACCAAAAAATTACTATAGCTTTGGTCTGCGAGGAAGATGATGTATATAACCAGCCTCAAATAACCCCTGTCATTTGGTATTCTGGCTGTGAAAGGAAATTTATTTGAACAATTTAGCCATTTATCTCTCACCCAGAAGGGTTTATCAGCTATTTATAGCTTTTGTTCCTTCCATACTATCTCAGCTTTAAGGAATACAAAGGGATTCAGAATCCTTCACAGCGTCTCAACACTGGCTTTAATAAAGCCAGTTTGTGTAGGTGTTTTATGTTTTTTTTTTTTTCCTCATAAGTACATAACGCGGGCAGCCTCTTTTTGCTGTGGGTATGTTAAAACTGAACCGGAAGAACCTGCACTGCTCCCCACAGAGCCCTGCTTCATTTGCTTTTCGTCTCTCCTTTCCTCTGCCCCCCTCCCTCCCCATGTTCTCACAGGACTCGTGAACTCTCCATAAACTCGCTGATTCCCTCCAGAACGCTGCTGTCTATCCGAGATCAGTAGAAGTAGAAATAAAACGAAAGAGTGAGAAAAAAGCTGAAACAGACAATAAGGTATGGAGAATGAAGAGAGGAAGAGGGAGGGAAAAACAAAAAGGGAGAGAAGCAGGCCAGATTGCAGAGGGTTGAATCAATGCAGCGGCCTGGTCCCTTTTTTTCTCCCCTCTCTTTTTTTCATTTTTTTCTCTCTCTCTCTCAAATGATTCACAGTGGAAAGAAAAGGCCTTTTCCCTGTCCTCAGTTGAACTCCACATCAGCTTCCTGTTAGAAAGGCAAGGAGGAAACACCCAGAGCAACACGCGCGTGCGCACACACGCGCAAACACACGCGTGCGCACACACACACACACACACCCACACACACACACACACACACACACAAATACACACAGAGGAAGGCCTTCACTAGTGGATTCTTTGCTGCCAGAGAAATTAGGTCAAGCACTTAAATGCCCTGCACTGAGATGCGCAGAGATTTAAAACGTGAAGTGTTTGGTGGGGACAAGAGACATACCAGAGCAACAAACATGCACGCACACAACCGCTGCACTTGGAAATAAATGCTAGCTACACACTATACTGTCAGCTCATGGCTTGCCACATTATTAATACCAAAAAACCTGAAATAATCGGTGACAGACACCCACTGCTCTTACTCTTAATACACCATCCATCTGTGCAGATTAGAACAAGACAAGGTGGCTCAGGCACACACAATAGAGTAAATGATATGTATTTGAAAAAACACCTTTTAAGTCTCCTCACAGGGAGAAACTAAGGCACTACGTGCACGCATTCTCAAAACGGCAGATGACCTGATTAGGGAGTGACAGGAGTCTCTGTGCGCCTCTAAAACTCAGCTCAGGACAGGACAGCACAACACGCCACACTGCAGTATCAGCCGTGCACGCCGAAACCCCCCACCCCACCCCACCCCACCCACCCACCCCCCCACCGCCTCCCTGCTACACCAACCCCACCGCCTCCCGCCCTCTGACCTGAAATGCCCTTAAAGAAACAACACACCCCATCACCATCACATCCAATCAACTATTCATAGAAAGGCTGGATTGCGCTGGGCCTGATCTTGCCGTTTAGGGTTTCAATCAATTGCGTGAGATATGAGAGACTGGGAGGGAGAGTGGGAGGGAGGATGAAGCTGTTCTGAAAGCAAATGAGAGAAAATTTGGGTGAATCCAAGCCTCCTCTCCTCTCCATATTGGCCACTGCAGATATGGCCCACAACGGGGCTCTGAGCTACAGGGTGGCAGGGTAATTCAGACAATAATCTCGCCAATTTTCACTCTGCAGCCATGTGCTTTCTCCTGTCCCACTGACTCACAGTGGAGAAATGAGTCCCGGTCCATTGTCTGAGGGCCACCTGTGTTTCTGCTCCATTTTCTCGAAAGCACAATGGCATTTTCCTGTTTATAACGGTGACTGCGCTTTATAAACATGCAATATCAGGGTATTAATACATCACATAAAAGAGCTTGTTTGTGACCGAGAGCTGTGGCCAAAAGGTCACAAACTGACCCTCTTCATATTCTAGCTTTTGACAGTTGTGTTTCTCTTTCCAGTGAAAGGGTGAGAAAATGAGACATGCAGCATGAGAGAATGTGGTAATAGCACAACACCATGTTCCTGTCAGCCAACACAGATCTTTTCTTGGGGAACGCTGCTGCGTTGCAATTTTCGACTGACACTCCAGTACGAACAGAATCTTACCCAGTCGGCCAACCAACCTGCAGATGAAGCTTTGAGAGCACACACACACACACACACACATGCGCGCGCACGCGCGCTCACACACACACACACACACACACACACACACACACACACACACACACACACACAAAGCAAAATACATGACCAGATGTGCAGGATGCCAGAGATGATCTAAAAGGACAAACAACCCCTTAAGATAAACTGATAAAAGTGTGGCATGTGTGTGTGTGTGTGTGTGTGTGTGTGTGTGTGTGTGTGTGTGTGTGTGTGTGTGTGTGTGTGTGTGTGTGTGCCACTTTTAAAGCTTTGTGCTGAGCCCAAGGTGCCGATGTGCTGTGGGTAAAAGTTATCTTAGGCATGAACGATATCTGTGGCATGATCTGAGGCAGCTAAACTAAAAAGGGACCATGTCTGAATCTCACACATAACAAGATGACATTTTGAAATGTGCTTCAAAGCAGGACAATCACAATCTATATCCTGCATATTCACGCAGTGTAAAAGGTAATATGTTTCTATTGTATAGCAATAGTCTTTCTACGAGCTTCGGTGCACTACTGCATTTTGCTTTAGTTGCTCACAGCAAGTTGAAGGTCCAAACTGATTTTTTTTTCAGGAAAATGTGCAATTTTATCAATTAATAGTCTATAGGCACAAGAAGAAATGATTTAGGCTACAAAATGAACTATATATGAACCTATAAAACACTTACTTGTTTTGCTGTCTAATGGGAAAATCTACGTGTCCTACCTGATGAATGTGCAGCTCCTGTTATGACTCCCCATGCACACACACACACACACACACACACACACACAGACACATACACACACACACACACACAGACATATGTAATATCAATGAAATATTACCACACACACATCCACATTTTAATTTCACAAGGGGATTTAAGTTTCTGTCTTTTTAAAAATATATATATTTAAGTCTCACTGTACATATGAGAAACAGCCAGGAAGCACCATACACGCCTTTTAACCATTAAAAATACATTCAGCTACTGCTGAGTTAGCTCCTCTCAGATTTCAATGAATTAATTTCATCAAAAACTTCTCTGAGGGAAACCACAGTGACACATCAGGGGAAACCGCACAGCTCTACCATATGTCTCATGTCTTACATACACTGATTATCTCAGGGTGAACAGCTCGGGAAACGCCGCTTTTCTAATTAAATGCACATTTTACTGAAATCTTACAAATTGCTCACTTGGAGAGCGGCGATGTATTCCGCTGGATTGACGTGATGTGCCCGGCTGCCAATCTGTGCATCGGGGATAACAAAGGGAAAGATTATGCCTCTCTGCGAAGGGAAACTAGGGCACGAAAAGGCGACCTCTTTTCTTGTATTGCGAGGGAGAATCTACAGCCTGGCGACCATTTCATTTTCACGTAAAGACTAGACTACGTTTGGTACTCGTTCTCAAATTTACAGACGATTATGTTGAGATGTTAAGCTGTTATTCCGAAAGCGTTTGTCTTTTGCACCCTGGAAACTTCCCCCCAAGGACTGTGGATCGTTTCAGTCATAACAGTGTCAATATCCACTGACCTAGTCTGGGGGAAATACACCACTGCATGCTTACGCTTAAAAAGTCCGTCCTCGTTGTCATTTTTACGCATTTTACGCAAATGTAAACCTCTAAAAAAAATCACCTTACAAAGAGAAAAGTGTAAATTTAAGACTACGCACCGATAGGTGTCAAGTTCAAGTTGGATGATCTCTTCCTCCGGGGTGTCCAACTCCAAGTCCGCGGGCTTTATATTTCCTAGACGGTTGCTTGTCCTCTATTATGTGTCTGGAGCCAGTGAGAGCAGAAAATAAAAAAAACACAAAGCGATAATATTCGTAGGCTGAGAAGCGGAAAAGGTCGTCATGTTGAATATGTTGGGAGACAATCTCCGAGAGCGACTACCGGGCCATTGAAAGAGTTGTTCCCCCCTCTCTGCCTTTCTCTCGCCGGCCATCCAGCTCGGTTCAATGGGGACACACAGGCTGCAGACTGCGCCGTGCGTCCTGCGCCGCCGATGAACCAGATGCGTCAAGTTCAGCTGAGGTGAAGCCCCGTTATACAACCAGCCTGGGTGTGCAGCAGCCTGCACTATCGCGCTGCTTATTTAATGTCTCCTAAAGGGGAAAAAAAAAGAAAAAAAGAAAAGGCACATCACACTGAAATATCTGCAAAAACTAGACTGTGTTGAGACGATTATTAAGGGCTCCCTCACTCCCCCCTCCTGCCCCCTCCACGGATCTTAAAATCACTGTTTGCTTTTGTGAACTTACCTGATGTCAGCCTTATGAAAATGATATTTTCACAGTGTCATTCACTTCACGTTGGAATTTAAAGTTGCCTAAACTAACGCCGTGAAATTATAAACAAGTACATTATCATTTGGGAATAATAAATGAATAATACCATGCAGTTTTAAGAGATTAAAATGCAATAAAGTACGACAAGAGCACTATAAGGTCACAGTTTTAACGTTGTACACAGACTTCAGCTCCATCTGGGATTATTTTAGAAATAATACACCGTGTTTTTCGTCTGTCACCCCCCCCCCCCCCACCCCCCACTTCTATATTTAACAGCAAGCATGCATGTTTTAGCTTTAAAGTCTTATTAATATTAAAATATGTATTTCAAACAAGTAGCAGGAGTCGGGTTAAAGAAAACTGACAAAAACAAGCAATACCTTATATTATCAATATGGCTGTGTCACCCACCGACAGTGCTAAAAGAGCTCTAATAACAGCAAAAACACCTTTAAACATAGCTAACTTCATTTGTCATGCTAACTACAGGATTAGCTCAACAGCTAATTATTTTCTGTTTATGCTAGCTAAGAAAAGGCGAGTGTGATTTTAAAAGATGTATTTCTCACACCTGTTTGGCTGCGTTAATGAGCCTGATTCAGTTTTGTCCCGTCTGAAAGATAATGAAGGTCTAGTTATCCAGTTACACACCACAGGTGACTTGGAGGACAAGCCCAGACTTGTTGAGTTACCCGATTTGCCTCACAGACACTTTATTGATTAATCAGCTGTGGAGATGAGGCAAGACGGAGCTGTTAAAGGACCAATCCGACATTCAAAAAGTCATTAAAAATATCTCCAATACCAAGAACAGGAAACATTTTGAGATCCATTTAACCTCTTATGCTGGTTTATATGGGTCTTAATTTAAGTTGCTGACATTACACTAATGTTTCATGTACCAATTTTTACTTTGACTAAACAATATTATTATTGTTTGAGAGCAGTGGAATAAAATACAGTAAATTTTAAGCTTCCTTGTAAGTGATGTGAAATGTTCAAGTTTACAAAAAACACATATCACATCTATAGATAGATAGATATTATCCACTTCATAAAATGTGTTATTCAGCAGAATAAAGACATCAAACCATAACTAACAACTCATAAACAGAAAAAGGCATGTTACACTCTATTTATGCTGAGTATAGACCCCTGCAGAGTCACTATTTAAAATGCAGAGACAGAAATTACAGTGCATGTTAAATTAAGTGCATCAGTTTTCAGAATATAGATAAGAATCTTTAAAGGCACTGATAATAATTAACTTTTAATATGGACTCCCTGGGATCTTTATTAACACACTCCTTCACCAAGAAATATAGTGATATGGAAATTAGTGAATAAGTAGTAAAAAGTTAATTATTAAATTAAGTAGTTAATTAAAATCTTCTTATTGTGAAAATCGGTTGAGTTCATTTACAAACTTTATTGTCTTTTAAAATAAAATTTGTGGGAAGGTTTTAAATTAAAAGCACATTTGTTATAATCTGTAAAAGAAACAGAAATGCTTAAAATTAATAATAAGCTATAAAGGCAATGCTCTCTTGTTCAGTTGAACACACGTTTGTTTGTCCAGCTGTCCGTGTTTAAATCACTGTTTGTGTGTTTGATTTTTTTTTTTCTGGCTCTGTGCACATGAGTCGAAGCATCAGTTCCAATGTGAACCTGCACAACAGAAGCGAGTGTATTGAGTGGTGGTAAATCTGTATTGACAGGTGATATTACAGCTGCACTCATTGACCGTGCTCTGTGTACAATTCGCCTATATCCATCAGCACAGAAAGAAACTATAGGATTAAGAGAGAGAGAGAGAGAGAGTGTGTGTGTGTGTGTGTGTGTGTGTGTGTTCCTACATCTCGACTGCCCATGAGCTGAACATGTAGGCTACAGATAACAGGGATTAGAAGGTGACACAAGTTCATATTGACGGAGATTCACCTGTTGTAACACAAGACAAACAAACACACACATACACACAATATTTTTTAACATCCAAATACTTTCACAGTGTTTAAAAGTAAAATAAAACTGAGTGTTGTATTAAAAGCTCTGTGAAAGAAGAAAGAAAGACTGCTTTATAAATGAAAGCAGTGTGTGTACTTTTATTATAATTCACTAATGTGCTGCAAATTCATTTTAGCCCATTCTAAGTAAATGCTTCAAAATAAGAGGAACATTACCACCAGTATGCAAATAATTATAGTTACACAATTTGTAATAACTTTTATACTGCAAAAGCAAATATTTTAAACATTGTTGAATTAGATTTTTATATATGACATTGTATAATCAAAGTTCATTTTTTGCACCTGTCTGTATTTGTTCCAGATATAGACATGTGATTTCAAACCTCTTACTACAGCTACCAATGCCCTATATGTTATCATACATATTATATATATAAATATATTACACATTAAGGTACCTAAAGGTGTAGGATATGAAAGTTGTAATTTTAGCAAGCTTAAAAATGTAGAGTATGTTTTTTTTTTTTAACTTTAATCTGATCTATGAATACATCTATCTATCTTGCTTTTCTAGTAGCATTTACAATAAAGCAATTTGTCATTTTATTTTAACTCATTTTCTTCTGCTATGACGGTTTCAGGTTTGTGGTGATATTATTCATATTTTTTTAATATAAAAAAGAAGATATAAAATAACTACAATTTCAGGAAACATTTAGTAATGAACTTTTTTCTTTTCCTTTGTTACTTTTCATCCAGTTACTCAACGTTGCCGAGCAGCAGCTGTCAGACCTTTACAAGAATGCAGTAGAAAATCAAAATGTTGCGGTAAAGTGAAATATCACCTTAAGTATGATATGAAGAGATGTTAGTCACGCTGATGGATATAATGTAGATATGGTATTAAGCACTTATCATCCAAACCTTACACCTAAATGGACTTCAGTCAATACTCATCAATCTTTCATTTTTTATTATTTGTGTGTATCCTCAATCACTCGCTTACATCGATTAAGAAAAAAAGTATTGACAAGAGAAAAGTATCGACTCCACTTTTTATTTCCACAATTTGAACCGGCAACATGTCTGAGGAGGTGAGGCAAGATGAGGAGAGGAGAGGAGAGGAGAGGAGAGGCGAGGAGAGGAATGGAGGGGAGAGGAGAGGAGAAGAAGGGGGTTGTAGAGGTGGCCAGGGCACTCCATTTGGCACTACTAATTTGCAATCAGACACTCTCTTTGAGCTCTCTCTCTACCATGTCTCCAGACAGTGTGGATGGCAGCTGAGACAAAGCTAGCATTCTCCGCCGCCCAAGACCCCTCTCAGTTTTATTTCAGGCCACTGCTCTCAGACACAAACCATTCTGCATGGAGTACCCAACGACAGCACCTAGAGACAGGAGAGGAGGAAGGAGCAAGCTCAGAGGAGGAAGAGGAGGAGAGGCGGCGGCAGCGGGGGGGGAGGTGTGGAAAAGAGTGGGAGGAGGCTTTGTCGAGGGCCAAACTGCTGTCTCTCTCCCCCACCACCCTAACCACCTACCCCCCCCCACCCACCCCCCCCTCGGATGGTACCCTGGCCTGTTCCTCTAAAACATGCTGCAGTGCAGTGCCACGCCCCACCTAGCGCCATGAAAAGACACCATGAAGAGACTTGATCGATGACACTGCTCAGAACAGGAGAGCCGATCACGACCTTTCCCCTCCAATTAGTCACTCCAAGCAAAACCTGATTCGAGATCAGTATCCAAAACGTGTTGAGTTTGACAAACTCCTCATCAGATCGGTTTAGCTACTGCACATGCACCAAATAGAGAAAATACTATAAAGACACAGCAGCCACAAACGCACCCATCTGATACACTGGATCGGAATCGGTCCAATCGATCCAACTTCATTAAGCGGATCGGGCCATGACATGACAGAGCCTCATTAAATACAGTTTTTATGTCACTATCACTAATGTCACTGGTTTTAGTGCCACTGAAGTCTGACACTCATAATAACTTACATAACAATTATCCCAATGAATTCCACACAGAGAGGTACAGGTTTTAATTTGGGGAGAAAAAAGAACACTGATATTGGATCAGTTCTCCGAGTCAGGTACCTAAACCTGAAGAGTCGGAGTCAGTCCCGGGAGACTAAAAGTTGGACAGGAGCATCCCTACTATCATCCACATCTAAGCTGCCTCAAAGCTTCTTTTTGTCCACCTCCTCCTTTGTGATTGGTATGTGCTCGATACTTTTTTATTAAAGTTGTGTTCAGGTTGGCTAAGCATGCATGTTTTTACAGCAACGCCCTGTTAAAGGAAATAATAAAAATGAATGAAGGATAATAGCTTTTCCTGGGGCTTCCTGAGATGAGCACATGTCCCTAGTGTAACTTATATCTGGTTTCATCTTTTAGAAATCAGTGTGAGCGCACATGCATGCGCTACCGTCTGAATGTGTCCGTGCCCCTGCGTTATCGCTTTATTATCAGCAGTCCAGTGGAAGTACAGTATGTTGTGGCTTGGTTGCCACAGGTAACAGGTCAATGATTACCCACAGGGCCAAGGGTGTCCTCAAGCTCAGGTCAGAGCCACTTCCCCAAGAGAGAGAGGAACAACAGTGGGCTGCAGCTGCCATCTGTAACTCTAGGCCTGTGCAGTTATCAGTGTCTTATCTGCTTGAAAAGCCGCATTGTGTTCACATTGTGTATGCAGGCTGTGTCGGGGCAGGGCCACGCTTCAGGAGTTTATGCTATTTTATGCAATGC